AGAAGAACTCTTCAAAGGACTCTGATCGGACAATCTGTCCCCTTAGTTTTGGTGGAATGCGTCGTCCACATTCCTCTCGTTTACTTCATGTTGAGGCTACTTCCACAACTTCAGCTTCCAGTCTCTCCCTATTTCCCTGTTTCAGTATCTTCTCTTCAAAGTTTTTTCTTCATTGACCCCATTGCAAACTTTCAGATTTCTTCTTTGCAGGGATGTTTATTGTAATGCTTGTCTCAAACATTAGCACCTGCCCTCATCATGGAACATTTGGTTCATCATTGAGATCAGCTCAGTGGTAGTGTAATAATTTGGTTCAATATTGATGTGTTTGGGGCGCAATCAGTAACTGCAAACATTGATTTTGATACTGCCTAGTACTTTGCTGAGTTAGCCAGCCTGTATTTGAAGTAGGTAAAGTATCACAAGGGAGCTTCATTACAAATCCACCAATATGTCTTGCGGAGACTCATTAAGTTTTCCTTGATCTTGGTGATCTATCTGTATCTTTGTGGCTATCATGAGCCGCTTAATTTCCTACTTGAAGTTTCAAGAGATTTAGTAGATTTGTCAATTTCTTTTCAATTCGTTTCTCTACCTCCATAACAAATTTGCGACTTCCCAGGCCTGCCCCCTATTTGAAGAGATGAGTCTTATCTGGCTGAAGAAACCAATTCCTCTACGAGTTAAATTAGTAAATGTTGATTTTTTAACTGTTTTATCCAAAACTGTACTGAGCCTTTTGATCTAATGTCGTGAGTTCTGAATTTGACTGACGTTTCTTTTTGGTGGGGGCTTATAAGTGTCACTTAGGAAAGTCTTAGGACTCAATCAATCCATTTAACGATTTACTTGTATTAAAGGTATACGAGATTTCTTGTTGGGAGGCTTAGAAAGTATCAATGGAAGTGTTAGGCTGAGCCCAAAGTCATTAATACACTTCATTGAATGATCTATACAAGGTTTCTTTTTGAGAGATCGATTTGGAACAAAGAGATCTGCTGAGAATTTCAGTATTTGAAGTTTCAAAACCCAGGTCTGTTCAATTGCCAAGCTTGGTTTGTCCTTTCTGTTGTCAGATTTAAGGCCTCGCCACCCACTTCCCCAGATTAGAAAGACCAACTGATCCCTCATTTCATTTACTGATATTGGAAGTTGATTGGCTGGATTGAGAAGGGTGCCACCAATCTGACGGAACATTGCCACGGCTAAATTACAAAAAGCCTGAACCTACAAAAACAGAAAAAGAACATTCGACTTATTAAAAATATAACAAATGGGAAAGGATATTAGTGAGAGACATACCACTTTGTTACTAGCAGTGACTTGTTGGTTAAAAGAAAACCCCTTCTAAAACTTTCCAATTGAAAGGGCAAGTAACTAAGATTTCACATGAAATAGTCGGTACTTGGCCTTCCGAAGCAAATATAAATTCAGCAAGAGTGAAGCATCATTGAATGACAATCATTTTTTTTCGTTACCTTTCAACCCCACCAGATACTTCACAAAAACATGAAGGAATTTAAAAACTCGTAAGCCCTAATTGGTCCAGTACACTTGGGACCACAGTTATCTGTGCCACCTAGGTCTACAGGCAATGGTTCCCAAACTTACCTTTCTTCAGCACCAAAAACCCTGACCACAAATCCTGTAAGTGAAATAACTAAATCTCCCCCACCAACAACAGTAATGGCAAAATTTAACATACAACTTTTCTCTCCTCAATATTAAAATCAAAATAAAAATGCAAATTAAAACATTTTGAAATTTATTCTATACCCTAAGTATAAACTGGTCCTGATGCGATTACCCGAAAAGAGAGGAATCTGACCCCCACTGCTTAAATTTTAATTTTACCCATGTTTTTAAAGATTTTGGTTAAATTAAATTAATAATATGCCAGTGTATTTATTGAAACAAAAAAAACACACTCAATTTCTGCTCTGCAAAATGAAAAGAAAGGCCGAACTTTCTCATTTGATGTTTGATGTACATCATAACATAGTATAAACGATATTATATTAATAATTATACTATAAGTTTTCCCAGAATGCTATCCTGAAGTTCAGTGTCATTATTTCATATTACGACTCTAAATACTACAAATATTTTCAAAATGTATATGTTTAGTTGTTCTGTCAAAGTTCAATTTTCTTGTACTTGCTAGCCAAAAATTTTGTCAAAACTAAAATTATAACCAAGAGCGCTTTGTGACACATTGCATTCACATTTTGTACGATAGCACATCAAAAGTTACCACTTCGCTAAATATTGAAACCTTTATTTAAAAATAAAAATAAACAAACCACATCAGTGAGCCTTTGAATTCTTCCGCCAGTAATGCAAAGAGTGAAGTACTAAGTATTAAATTAAACAATTGTTAAAATAAAAAAACTCAAATTATTATTTTCATTTCAATATAAGTAACACTTGCAAGTCATTATGGTAACATTACTTTTATCTGTGTTTGAGTTAACTTTAATGTGTAAGAGCAAATGTGTAATTTACACGTTATGTTGTATATCAGCACTTGATTTCTAAAAATTTATGTGTAGTCTTAGTATAGATAAACCATGAAAATGTATTACTTCTTTAAATTTAGCTTTTTTACCTACAAAAAACTGGAGATATGAAACCTGTCTTTGTCCACTGACCTCTAAATTCAAGTTTCAATGCCATACCCTCCCTCTCTCAACGATCCCAGACCTCTCATTCAGTCAAAACCTTAATATTTTTGAGAAAAGGTAATGATAATGAATGTTACAGGATATGATCAATTTACTCAAGGAGTAGACTCATTCTTATTCTCGAGCCTATTTGTGCTCGCAGTGAAGAAAAGTTGTCCGGAAGAGTAACTGTGTTGGAGGTGGCCATCGTGGTAGGGTGGAAAGGAGTGAGAGCCAACTAGCCAGTTCTGAAAGTTGATTCGCGCTCTGTCTCGGACAAAAACTCATATGGAGAGGCAGGCATTTCTGTTGGGAGTCACTGATACAATTTAATTTCCAGTGAGAAGGTGAACCAAAACTTCTTGCAACGCTACAAAAGAAAAAGATTCTTCATTTTTGAACCAGTCCACAAACTAGTACTACTGACCCCTCACATATCCATGACAGAAACAGATAAATGTCATGAGAAAAAAAGTACATTTCATTCACCATATTACTGATTATGCTCTTACTATCTTTTGTGGCAATTCGAATTTCATGAAAAGATTGAATCATTCGTATAGTTTTGGAAGTTAAAAAGGTTGTAATACAATGGATCATTTATTTCATTATTCAGGGATGTAGATTATGATGATATATACAAGAATTGGGGAACTTCCAGCCTTTACAACTACTAATAGCACAGTGTTAGTCAAAGTAATAGGTCAGTCAAGTCTATTTCAAATATATTCTAAGAGAACAGGGATCAAGTCAATGCACTAAAACTGAATGATCAAGGTTGTCTAATTTGATACTACAGAAAACTGTATGATTGTTTCAGCATTAAACCTAAAAAGGTCTTCTTACAAGAGTTAAGTTAGGAAAAATTAACAAGAAAAAGTTAAATTTTGAGAGAAGGAACTTGTATCAGCATTCGGATCTTCAAACAGTTACAAAATTAGAAGATAAAATTCAGAAGTTTCCGTTTGCAAAGAATGATAAATCTCAATTAGGAGTCACGATTACGACATCACACACTATTTACAGTGGCAATATTTATAAGTAAGTATAATTGAAGATCTCATATAAATCTAGTAACACAAATTACTAGACTTAAAAAAAACTTGCATTGAATTGTATTGAAAAAGTATGAAAAGATTTACTCTCCTAAAATATTATTTCTAATACTTGGAAAGGCAATTGCATAATTCTGCATCATAAGAAAATAAGATATTCACTTACCATATGTAAGTTGACCAAGCATGCTCCTGAAGAGTCAAGTAATTGCAACTCAAAAGACCGCAATGCGAGTGCACCAAGATCCAAAATTACCCTTTGGATTTACCCAGTGCTGGCGTTACTTGTGGAAAACTGCTTTTCTAAAGAGTTTTTCTTTCTCCTGAAAAACTGATGCCCATTAACTCTTGTTATTAAACATTCCCTTGTTCACAAGTTTAGCCCAAAATAAGAAAGACACTGCACGCAACCTGCTAAGATAAAATTCCTACCTTCAAAGATTACACTTTTGTACTTTCATCATGCTGGTGATAACATTAATGTACCAAAAAAACTTAGATTGAAGAATTATGTGACTTAATACACTAGTATTGAGAATCAACTATTGGTGGAATAGGGACTGGAGTTAGGACAGAAAAAATGAGGAAGGGAAGTTCATGCCAATGGTCTGATCATCGGTGTGTATCTTAAAGTACCCTACCTGCTAAATTCACTAAGTGATTTTGTGCAGTGAGCAAAGCAGCCATAGACGAAACCAATATCATATCAGAAGCAGCCAGCGTCGCGTAGACGGATTGGCTCCCGCACATATAGTGATATATTTACGCAAACACGATTTAACTAGAGACGAAAACTTTGCACTGATGTTTTTGTTCATGAACCTGACATCTGACCTGGTATCAATGACACTGCGAGTAGCAACCCAAACAATGTTGATTTTATGGGACGTGGTTCCCTATAATACCCGCTCGCTGATTTTTCACTAGCTATGAGTATGAGGAATTGCCTTCTCATAGAACGATGTTATTTTACATACCATATTTTATATTTCATTTAAAATGGAATAATATTTGCTAAAGCGGTTCAATGTATTTTTGTGAGTGGAAAGGTCATTCAGTTGCATTCCTAATTGATTTTAAGTCTGAACGGTGGCCATTTAGAGTTTGAAAATCCTTGTATGTGGCAATTTTAAACCTATCACGCGTTTTGATCTTACATATTTTGTTTCATAAAATATATAAGCCAAAGTATGTACATATATACATACTGTAAAATTTTACATTTTTTTATTACAATACCTCTCGTTGCTTATATATAACAATATTTAAAATGAAAAGTAACCTGCCAAATGTACGATTCCTTCTTCTGATAACATCTTGAAGCATATTGGTGATTAAATCTTCAACAAATAAGTTCCAACACATGAGCAGCTTTTGTCTGTTACCCAGCTTTCAGAACTTGTATGCAACTTCCCGCAGATGACTGGAAAAAAAAAAATTTGCTATTTATGTGAATATACAAATTTTGGTTAATTTTATTTTTTTTAACTAGCATTCCCAGAAGAACAAGTGAATTCATAGCTGCGTTTTGTGCATGGAATGAAAAAAGTTTAGTTCTAAAATTGACAGAAGTAACAAGAGCTGCAGCAAAATTAAAATTTTTAACAAGAACAGAATAAACATTTAATACTATCCTTGCGAATACAAGAGTATCTCACAATAAATTTACAACTTTTTGGATATATGCAGGGGTCAAAGATGATTACTTTTTACAAAGAAGATGCAGAATAAATAATAAATATATACACATACTCCCTTTTTTAAAATCCACAACCAAGTCAACACAATTTATACCTGCTTCATACTTTCAATGCACAATTAGTTACCAATAAAATTACATAGATATAAAATAGTTTAGTTATATTAAATTACAGTTTACCACAGACATTGTTGTGTCCACTCCCCGTTAGGATTATACGGATATCAGCGAAGTGTTGGGTGAATTTCAACCAACATATCCGATCCAGAGAATTATTTCGGATTAACGGTGAGCTGTCTCAAGATGAGATTTTTGTTTTTAATAACTTTTACTTTTTTATTTATAATTTCTGTCAGCCTTAATTATTGTTTTAAGTTAATAGATATACTCAAAGAAGAATATGAATCTGTTAGGATTCAATGTTGTATATTTTTTATATCAGAATTGATGACAACAATAACTTGTTATTGTAGTTTCTTGGGTCTATGTAACGTACAACAAAAACTTCTTCAGCCATGTCGGTGCGCAATCACTTTAGATTGTTCTTTTTGTAACTTAATATTCTAAAACATTTCAATTTCTAATTTTTGTCCTGTATTTTTGTAATGGACGGTCGCCACGTCACGGTTGCGACGCGCTATTTCAATATTTTATTCTATTGTACAGTGCTGTGTAGAGAGGCCTGACACCGACGACAGGAGGAGTACTTCTGTTGTATGATTGTTCAAAAATTCCCACAGATATTGGTCCAATTATCTTATATAATTGTGAGTCTATTGTCTGAATAATATTTGTCTTTGACAGCTGGGATAGGGTAGAGTGATGTTCACTTACTCTAGCCACAGATTCTTGGTCATATGATCGTTTGCCATTACTCAAAACTAGCAAGAAACAAAGAACAATAAGAGCACACAACAGTAAATGATCAGAACGCACGCACAAGATGGAACAAAGAAGTATGGCACTCTTATAAACTACAGTATTCGCACTATGGGATTTCAGTTTTTCTAATAAGATATTGGCAACTCTTCAGTGCGATCAAACAATTAAGCCTCTGATCTGGAAGCAAACTCCTCTCACCTGTCAGCGGAGCTACAGAGCGTTGTCATGTGACGGGTTTTTTTGACAGCCACTCATGCTATACCATGGGATTCATGCTGGAGGTGTGGCCCAGTGATTAACAAGCCCAGAAATGATTCGATTTCATTTCACGATCGTGGTTAAATGTTCGCTGGGCACTGTGAAACAACTAATTATGTCATTTCGACAAGAGGAAAGTTCAGAAAAAATTTTTTATAGTGATAAACACATTGGTTGAACTATAGATTCAAGTTACTATTTTAAAAGTTAATAATGTACGCATTCTATGTTCAGTTTAGAATTTGGAGATGTTCACTACAGAAAACAGAGGTGCAGCTAACAGGACTTTCTTTGTTGGCGGGCCCCGGCAGTCCTTTTTGCCTGAGTTTCACGGACAGTTTTGGTGTGTTTTATGATTGATTTGGTATTTTTTTACCTGGCACCGTCCAGAGAGGGGCGCTTTGCAGAGCCTTCTCCCAGCCTGTTTGAACCTTTGTGAGAATCGTCGACACAGGGACAGTAACCAGTTTGTGTGGGTGGCAGATATGTTGTAGATGTAAATGATTAGAGCTGGACCATAAAGAGTTTGCCGCCCCCGCACCCGCCCTACAAATTGTTCACTACAATCTATCGAGTGGTATGGAGCAGAGCCAAAATCATATTATCCAGAGACATCACAGAACCCACTTTGACCACCAAGTCAGTGACAAGAGAATGGAATGCAAGCATTCAACCAGGTTTCAGTGGAGAAGTAAGTGAATATTAAAATGAAAAACAAATATTGTCTTAGAGTTTTTTGCAGATAATGTTTGTTTAATATAAAGTACTTATATAACATTCTGTCATTGCTTTAGTTGGAAGATTAGTGACATACATAGAGAGAAATTTATAGAAGAAGATTGGAAAGAGAGTTAGGCAGGATGCTTCAGGGGTTTTCTGTCCATAGTAATATTCAGGTGACTCTGATGGATGATAACATCTCGTGCTGTTTCCCATGCCTGGCCTGGTGTCCTACTTAGAGAAGATATGGTCAGTATATGTTTAATGTTTAATGCAGTATCTTTCATAGCGTTTGTAAAAAGATTTGACATTAACTCTTGTTCTCCTCAGGTGCAGAATTAAAAGTTGTATTATTCCATCCGAGGGAAGTATAGTGGTTTACATTCTAGGTGAAATAGTGAATCTGTATTTTTTCCCAGTGATCTAGCTTACTGAAATTAAATATGCATTTGAAAATAAACGCTCCTTTGGCTGTTCCCAAAAGTAAGGTAAGCCTTTTTGCCCCTCCTTATGGGTAGGTGTTTTTTAAGGTGTACTTCTCAGAGATATAACTAGACACTTCTGAGTGTTGCACCTGTTTAACTTCCTTTGGAATTTCTTTTTAGTAATTACTGTACAATTTTAACTTTTTTAATTAAAAGAAAGAATGTTTTTCAGTTACATGAAGTTAAGTTTTTTTATGTATATGAATCAAGTATGTCAGTTTCTCGTTTGTACATCTTAATGCAATACATTATTAAATTATCAAAAATAGGCTGTAGGATCCTTTGATAACAGATAAAGTGTTGTCATATAAGAAGATGCAATACAAATCGTTTCATTTGTTTTATCCTCTTTGTAAAATTAATATAATAATTTTTATTTCAAATTTTAACTCCTTACCGCTGGCAATGTGGTAGCTGAGGCTCGGAGATGTTAATAGAGTTGTGAATATTTTCTAAAAGGACTTAGGAACCATTTTTGATTTTGTATAGTTTGACGTTATAATTATCTAAGTGGATAAAATTTTTGAAATTCAAATGGATTTGGTTAGAAATGGTATCCTTCAAATAAATAAAGCATGCAAATAAAGGGAATTATTACTTATACGTTTGCTTTTTTATGTTACCTTTCACCAGATTTCTAATTGACTTTATATATTTGTAATAAAGTTATTGAGGTATGAACATTTCAATTTCATTTTAAGGCTAAAACTTGCACGTAGCATGAAACATAAATTCATCTTCATTAAATTCTGAATATATTTATTCAATATCCTTTGGAATGACAGATGAGTTACATAATTTATGAGACGTTTTTAACCGTATTTGTTTATCTTAATTTCAAAGAACAGAATTTATTTACCATATTTACAGGCAATTTACCTGAAGTATGATCAATTGTTAACTGAGAATTCTGCCAAACCAGTACTCCAGAATATCTACTAAATGTACCCTTTTTCCCAAGAATCTTTGATGTGGTGTGAAATTTTCCAAGATGTACAACAGGAGATCCAAGATTATGAAAGAAAATAAGCAAATTATGGTAAGTTTTTATGTTTAATTATACATGTCTACATGTCAATTTAAGCCTTTGTTTTCACAGCATCACTGTAACAAATTATGAGTATTTAAGTATTATTACCAATGAATTACAATTAACTAGACCATATCTGTAGTCAGATGATGATCAATATTGATACACTGGACTGTAGTCATAAGATGAGAAACGGGGAAAAGATTGAAATTAGTTTATTAAGATGCAGAGATAGTTACATGAACAATGCAAATATTATACAGCACACATTAATTGAATTTCTGAACACGTCAAGATCGAAATACTGGCAGAAATTCCGATAGTTTTTACCTGCCTCGTGGGACTTTGCAGTATATTCCATTTCTTTCTATATCTGATGGCTTAATTCAATCATCACACATGTTTTCAACAGTATTTCGAATGTTTTGAATACTAGTATAATTTTTCATCATAATGAGACGGAATTAAATTAATGCCTCGGTGAAACTGTTTCTAACCTCCACATGATGCAAAATTACGTTACAAGCAAATTCAGTCACCCGCGGCAGCTGTTTATGCACACAGCTGACTGTGTGGAAGAAATATTTAGTGGAGAGAGGATCGGTCTTAGGCGACCGCTCATCTGTTAAAGAAAGGCTGTCATTATAATAGGTACTGCCCTGAACGCTCTGTATCAAGTAGACAGAAGTAGTATCCTAGTATTCGTAGTTATACTGATGATGATTTCAGATATGATCAAGTTATATTGAAAATGGTTAAATTTGTATTGCAAATATTAATGTTATATTAAATTGAGCAGCATATCATAAGATTTAAGAGATTTTAACTTATAGTTCTTTCAATTGTACAAAGGCAATAATAAGATACATTTTAAAAAGTGAAACACAACTTACATAATACCAGATTATTTCACAAGGCATCATGAAAATGGATGCACCTTTTGAATCTACCTGTAGCAAAAGAACAAAAGGATTTTG